GATGGAGTGGGAGAGGAAGCCTGTGGGAGAAGAATGAGGAAAGGAGCAAGTTATTCCAGGGTCTCATTCTGTATTCACTGCGTTTTCCTGGCTGCACCTTGCAGGGGGTGAGTCTCGCCTGCCCTACGCTTGATGGTGGGTGCTGAGGTGAGGGAGCCCGGTTCAGGTGCTGCGTGTGTGCGAGCTCTTCTCCCGGCACAAGCTTCAAGACCCGTCCCCTGTCACTGGAGAGGGCTGGATGCTTTGTGTCGGGTGACTCAGCACTCCCCAGGCGGTCCCCCCACCCCAGAGCCTAATTCACCAGTGTTTCCCAGGGCACTGCCTTGGCTGGGACCAAGGCACCCACCTCTGAGCTGGGAAGGCAGGATCCCTGCACAGCATCACACCGCCAGAAAGCTGGGCTTGGCAGAGGGTTGAAACTCTGCAGACTTGACCTTTGGGGCTTCGCAGGGCATGCTGTGAAAGGAGAGGTGTAGACGTGTGGGGTTCAGCTCAGTGACCCCCTGTCCTCACATCCTCTGCCTGCTTATAACTTATTTTGCCTCAACATCCCTGTCCCTGCAACCCTTGGAGGCACTGGGATGGGTGGCTAGAAGAACACATTAGTGTGTGGTAATTAGGACTGACCACAGTGGTTTTCAACCACGGGAAACGTTGTTCTTGCATTTTGTTGCTGCCTGTTGCTCGGGGGCAGGAGAGGCTTTGAGCTGCACTGGACAATCACAATATCCATCTGCTCTGGGACATTCCTGCCTCAGGGCTCCGGATGGCTGAGAGCGTGTGTGTCATCTCCCCAGTGGGTGGAGGTCTCAGTACAAAATGTTACTGGTCTCAGAGTTCATTAACACACCGGGTTGCAAATGGTAGCGGCTTTTCGTCCTGCTCAAGCACCATCGGCTCTCCTGCCGGGCAAGGAGCAGAAGTGTCTTCGAGGGCTCGTGGCACATGTTGCGCTTCCCCTCCTTCTGCCAAGGGAAACCTGCTCGGACAGCTTGGGCACTGGGGAAAGGAGTTAGCCGCCTTCGGGTGGCTTTTCCTTGACCATCAGTGTTTCTGGAAACCTCAGCAAAACAGGCATCTGCTCGAGTACAACAGGATTAGGGCGGCAAGGCAGAGCCTGCTGTAATGCCAAGGGTTGCCCAAGGAGGGTTGTCCAACGCCATCCATAGGCGTGAGCACATCGGAAAGGACACCTTCTTGCCGTCCAGCCCCCCTGCTCCGGGCACTGGTGGGAGCTGCCACAGTCCCCATCGCATCTGTCAGACCAGGGGTTTCCTCGCGATGTCCCCCGCTCTGGCCTGCCGCCTCCCCCCTGCCAACCCCCTGCCCGTGCTCGCAGCCGCGCCCCGCAGCCGCGCCCCAGCCCCATGGCCGAGCGCACGAGTGCGGCGAGGCACATGTTTTGACATTTCAAGAAGGGGAGGTGAGGAAACGTGGCTCTGCCTTTCTTCCTGGCTGCGTGGAGACGTATGGGAACTGGCTGTCCCCTGTCACTGAGCCAGTCGCTCTGCGCGAGGAGACGGAGCCGCCGGGCCGGCAAGCGTTCACGGCGTTGGGGATCGCCGCAGGTTTGCAGTGTGACATTTCCATTAGCAGCTGTGGGGGGACATGCACACGTTGCCTTAATTCCTCTCTGCTGCAATAGCTCTTGGACTTCCCTCCTTGGTTTCAAGTGAGGCCACTGGGAAGAGAGACGGGAGGAGGCAGGGGCTTGCACAGGGCGGCATGAGAGCCACACTCCTGACCAGCAAGAGCTGGTGTGTGTCTGTGTGTGCACAGACACCCAGCAAAAGCGTATTTTCTCCAGCAAAAGCTGGCTTGCTTATGCTAAGATGGTTTAGTATGGTTTAGTAGACCAAGATTAGCTGCATTAGCAAAAGGCATATTTTGGGTAGTGTCACTGGCAGCGATGGAAAACAGTTAGGATCGCTTTCCCCTGCCCTGAGCTGTGGGCAGAGACACGTGCCCCTCTTGTCCCCCACAGGAGTGGAGCTGGCCCCAGATTTCATCTCTGGCCAGCTTTTGGGTGGGCCCCTGTGCCTCCTGCAGTTGCTGGACACTGCGGAGCGGTCCCCTGGGCTGCATTTGGAGGGCATGCCCCAGCAAGACAGCCAGGCCAGCCCTTGCTTAGGCAGGGAAGCGCATCCTGACAGCCTTGCTTAAGACTCCTTAAGCAGTGTTAGGAAGTGCGGCGCAATGAGACGGGGAACAACAAGCTGATGCCCCGATCCCTAATGTGCGGTGGCAGGCAGCCGGCTGCACGCAGCCCAGCCCTTGTCGGGGGACGCATCCCGCTGCCTGAAAGCTGGGGAGATGTAAAGAGTTTTAAAGTGATTGTGAAAGCAAGTTTTATCATGGGCTTTCAAAGAGGAGCATCTGATAAATTCACTGCAATGTGTCAATTTAATGCTTTTCTTCCCCTTCGAGTGCCTTTGCAAGGCTCTGCCTCCCCGGGCACGGGAGGGAGATGCGTATCCGTGGTGCCTGATTACACCTCGGAGCTGCGAGCCTCCAGCTGGGAAGTGTCAACACGGTGGCAGCTCCCGCTGCCAGACCCTTTCTGTTGCTGGAGCAGGTGACACACCGACATGGCAGACGTCAAGGGGGGTGTGCCGGGTGTGGGCTTGTTCGGCATCCTCTCCCACATATGGCTGTGTCATTCCAGGGACAGTCTTGTGAATGAGCTGCCCAGAGCAGTGGCAGGTGGTTAGAATTTCCTGGGTGACCATGTGGACCTAATTTAATTAGAGGGTTTAGGAAAACTCCCTAGGAAAAGGGAGGGGTGTGAAAGGTTTGGAGAGGGCAGATTTAAAAGGTAGTGGGAGAAGCTATTGCTAAGTGGATCATACCCAAATGTGGATGCAAGCTTGCCTTTCCTTGCCTGGAACTAGAAGATGAGGAAGATGGAGCATCTTTAAATGGGAGCTCACGCCAAAGGCTGGGGAGGAAGGGTTGGTGAGTACCAGGGATGTGGCAGGTCTTGGCCTGAGGGCAGAGGAGTTTGCATAAGGCTTTAATTTCCCCAGATCAGGGCAGATGGCTGGGTGCCTGGTAAGCCAGACGTGCATGCTGCCTGCTCGGTAGTTTTAGGACCTCTTTTCTCTGAAGTGCTTTTATTGTAAATGTCTTGCTCCCTAAAAACTGCTGTTTGGTCACTGTGTCTTCCTCTGTGGAAGACCGCTTCAGGCGCAAGCGTTGGGCAGAGCAGCTGAGGTATTGGGGGTTAATGGGCAGCTCTAGGAGCAGGAGATGCTGGCAGCACAGGAGAACCAGGAGTGGGATGGGCAGGGACTGGCTCTCGTGCTTTGGGGGTGAGCAGTGTGTCTCCAAAGAAAACTAGGGAGGGTGTGGAGTGCCTAATGCCTGCTAGTCCTGACTGCTGGTGGCAAAGTCGGGGCATGTCTGGGGACCCCAGAGTAAGCAAAGGTGCCAGGTGAGTTATCTCCTCTTAGCAGTGTGGCTGAGAGGAGATCCCTGAGTTCCTATGTTCCGCCTCCTAGCAGCGCTGTGTCCTCTTCTTTTGGTATCTCTGAAACACGACTGTGCCCTTACTCCCACTGAGTGTCTGGGAGATGCCACAGCGATGTGTCTCTCCTTTTGTCTCCCTGCCCCAGGTGTGAGAGCACAGAGGAATATGATTATGATTACCTCAGCATCAATAAAACCTGGGTCCTCACCCCCAAGGCGCAGGAGACCGATGCTACGCAGATCCTCAACTCTCTGCTGAAGAACTATGACAACAAGCTGAGGCCTGACATTGGCAGTAAGTGTCCTCTGAAGTTCCTGGTGGTGACATGGCCCAGCCGTGTCATGTGTTTTCCATGCTTTTGTGGGTGCTGTGGTTGGTGTTTGTGGTGAGATGGAGTCACGCTGATCCCAGATGCTTCCCTGGTCCTCAGCCCTTCGCAGGTGATCCTAGCCCCAGGTCACCCATACCTGTTTTGTTTTCTTTACAGTCAAGCCCACGTTTATCGATGTGGATATCTACGTGAACAGCATCGGGCCAGTGTCTGTCATTCAGATGGTGAGTGGTATCGTTGCTGCAGGGTCGCGGTATCCCCACAGCGGAGACTGTGGGAGGTCGGTGGCCCAGCGCTGCTGGCAGGCTGTGTCATGCTGGCTAGATGTGGTGTGGGAAGAGATGGATTTGTTTCCCTTCCCTTGGAGAGCGGTGTTCTGACCTGCTGATAGCTGGAGCTAGAAAGGCTTGACAGACCTTGCTAGTTAGCAGCAAGGTCCTTGAGTGCCCTTGGTGAGCTCACCAGCCCTACCGTGCTCCTGAGCTCAGGGAGAAGGATGGTGATGCTCTTTGGTCTCTGCTGGCAGTGTGGGGACAGGCTGCTCTGCCTGGTGACTGTGCCCTCCTGCTTGGCACCTGGTATGGGCACCCAGGGCGGTTGCACCACTCTGGTTGAGCCAGCATGGCAGTGGCTGGGAGGGGGAGAGGCGTGGTTTCTGACAGGACTGAAACGGGTACCTGGAGATGGTTTCTGTGGCAATGGTCTGGCATGAAACTTGGGTGCCCAGGCCTGGCCTGCGCTGCTGGGGAGGGACAGGCAGGGTCCCTGGGGCTGACTGCTCTCCTTCAGTATGTAGGGCCTTGGGTTGATGCCACTATGACTGCAACAGTTTTTCCTTATGGCTCAGGACCCTGCTGTACTGGGAGCTATGGAAACACTCAACAGAGGTGCTCTTTGGTCTGAAGACCCTCCAGGCCATGCACTGGAGAGCAACTCTTGATTATTTTTCAGAGGAAACCTCCATTATTGTTTTCCCTGCAAAGTCAGTTCTTCCTTTCTTCTAGCGAGAAACAAACCTGACTGCTGTTAGGTTTTGAGAGACTTCTTTGGCCCACTGGGCGGTGGAGTGGAAAGGACAAAGGAGAGGTACAGCCAGGACAATCTGGCTTTTATTGTCTCTCTCAATGCAGAGCAGAAACAAAACCAGCCCCCTTAAACAAAAAAAAAGAAAGTTCTCAGGATGGGCGTGTTATTTTTAGTTTCCCAGTAGGAAATTTCCACTGAACAAACCCCTCTGGGGATGAAGGATTGGCATTGTCGTTGTAGTACCACTTTGACTCCAAAAGGCATTTTGAAGCAGCCCTTCTGACCGGCGGCTGCCCAGCACGTGCCTCGCTGAGCAGCACCAGCGGGGCTGTGCGCTGGCTGGCACGGTGTGGGCACTGTCGGGAGGCCCAGCAGGGACAGCCTCCAGGCAGAAAAGTTCCTTTCACTGTTTCTGTGGGCCCCATCTCCAGGAGGAGATCCACAGGGATGCCATCCCTGGCTGCCAGCAGGTACCACATGCTCCTCCATCCCATGTGGGTGTGTGGACACGAAGCCACAGCCATGCAAGAGCTGCCTTGCAGGGGCTGCATGTATTAACCCCCCAGCCACTGCTGTGCCTGCAGGTAGAGCACGAGAGTCATGTTACAGGTGGCTGTTCCATCTGCTTTGCCCTGCCCAAGGATATGCCAAGAAAACCATGCAAAACCACA